CAGGGTGAGCTCTCCAGCATTGCCCTGGCTAGTTCACCCTATGCAGCAATGAGCAAGAGGCAGGGCTTGTTCTCTTGCTTTCCTGCCTTTCTGTGTTGACTCACCCACACCTACACCACCAGGGCCAGCTCTACCGTGTTGCCCAGGTGAGGTGCAGGGGCCACTCTCCTTAGTGCTGCAGCTGGTGAGGGGCACGGGCAGCTTTCCTCCTACTCTTATGACTTCAGGACCAGCTCTCCCACCTACCACATGTAGTGGTGGGGATGGAAGGACATCTCTCCCTTGCCCACACCACTGTATGGTAGGTGAGGGGTGGGGCCAGGTCCTCCCCTCATATTCTTATGGCTGACTCACCCTTGCCCAGTTTACAGGGTCAGCTCTACTGTACTGCCCTGGCAGGTGAGGCACAGGGCCTTCATCCCCTAGTGTTGCAGCAGGGTGAGGGACAAGACCCACTCTTATGACTGGAAGGAATTATTTCTTTCATGAGAACATCCCCTAAACAATATTGTCATATTTACCGAAACAGTTCATTTTTGTTGTGGTTTTCTGCCTCAGAGGTACTTTAGTTTTGTAGTTAGTGTGTCTAAAGTAGAACCTGGTACAGGGATGTGTTGTTATGCCTCCTAAGTCCAGTTTAGTCCCCTTGGCAATGGTTTCTTGGGAGGACCAACTCTATCACTAAGAATGTCCCACCTTTTCATTTCTCAGTCTGTTGCTTCAAATGTCACTGACTTGTCCCTTTGTCCCTTCAATTTCCTGCAGTCTAACATGACAACAGCAATCCTAACTGTACTTCTGATTTCACATCATTGGCAGGAATACATCATAGATGGTGAGGCAAAGACCACTGTGCACCCTATGAGCACTCATGCTCTCTGGCTTCTCTATCATTACTGTTATGATTAATTACTAGGTACAGATGGTGACAGTTTGATATCATCTCTATGTCCAGTAGTAAACTGCGTAGCACAGCCTGTGGCTACAGTACATAGTCAATTCATAATATCCATTGCCTTGGACCCTGGAAAGATGGTATGTAACTAGACACATAGACTATAATTCCAGGGAATAATGTTTCCATACAATGCTAAGACGGACCTTTTAAATGCCTCAAAGTTCTCTCTCTTAAGCAAGTAGTGTTTTGTATTAAAAATGGGTTCACTTAATTATGTTGATGGCTATTTCTCATTAACCCAGCGTGCATTTCTTCTTTAGTATATTTTCTGTTCAGTATGCCAAAAAGAAACAGTGAAAATAAAGGCGTTATTATATCTTTGGCTTGTGGTTATGGTCTTATCTTTGAACAACCATCTGAAAGCAGCTGATGTGGATCATAAAGGCTCTGGGAAGGGCTGTCTGCTGCAGGGTATCAGTTCAGGTCTCTGCAGAGTCAGACATGTCCACCGGAGCACTTGAAGATGGCCTCTGCCCTGGGCACCAATGGAGACTCAGACAGACATGGAGATTATAGTATCTGAAGGTACCCAGGGAATGTGAAACAGTGTGATGATCAGCCTAGAAACAGCACCAGGAAGAAATCCTGGATTGTGGTTTGAATATGAAATGGCTCCCTAGGTCATGTGTTTGAATATATAGACCCCAGCTAATGTGGGCCTTGAGATGTGGTCTAGCTAGAAGTGAGTCTATAAGGGTGGGGCTTGAGATTTCTTCCTTCCTTCCTTCCTTTCTTCCTTCCTTCCTTCTTCCTTCCTCCCTCCCTCTTTCCCTCTTTCTTCCTTCCTTTCTCCCTCCCTCCCTCCCTCCCTCCCTCCCTTTTGTTCTTTCTTTCTTTTCTTTTCTTTTTTCTTTTCTTTTCTTTCTTTGAGACAGGGTTTTTCTGTGACTTTTAGAGGCTGTCCTGGAACTAGCTCTTGTAGAGGGCTTGAGGTTTCTTATCCAGCCCTACCTCCTGGTCTCTCCACTTTCTGATCATGGAGGTAATGTGGGCAGTGGCTTTACACTCCTGCTGCCATGCCTTCTCTGCCATGATAGACTATAGCTTCTCAACTGAACGCAAGCAAACCTTTCATTCATAAGGTGATTTTTGTCAAATCCATCACAGTAGTCAAAGAAGTAACTAATATGGGTTATAGTCAGTCTGACCTACAGATGAAAATAACCAGCTTTTAAATCACCCTAGGTGGTGGGGGAATTCAAAAAGGAGTAGATAAGGATCTCTCTGCTTCACCCCAACAGGCCAGATGCTCCTGTTGCAAAGCAGTGTGTTAAGTACTGTTTGTTTATCCAACACTATACCCCTAAAACCCTTCAAGAGGGTCTTAGCTTCTTTAGGGATGTCTGACATATGGTTATTCTGACAGGGAAAGCTCTGTAACAACCTGTTTCACAGAGTACAAGAACTTAGTGTCCAAGGAATAATGGTATCCCTACTCATTGGGACAGGCATAATGGCCTTTTAGACAGTTATAAAAATTTACTTCTATTGTTTTTATCTAAGTATATGTGTGCATGTATGGGAGACAGTGTGTGTATGAATGTATGCCTTATATGTGCATGCCTGTACAGGGCAGGAAAGGACATCAGATCTCCTGGAGCTGTAGCTACAGGTAGATGTGAGTGACCTGGCATGAGTGCTGGGAACTCACTCTGGTCTTTGCCAGAACAGTAACCATTACTCCTGAACCATCATCTCTCCAGTCCCTACTTTAGACATTTCTAAATACCAACTGGAAAGTGTGTGTGTGTGTGTGTGTGTGTGTGTGTGTGTGTGTGTGTGTGTGCGCATGCACCTGTGGTCTTTGGGGAAGAATGCCTGGATTTGTAACTTGTTCAGACTGGTATAACAAAAATCATTGAGCTGTGGAGGTGACTCAGCAGTTAAAGCACTTACTCTATAAGCAGGAGTAATGTCTACAGGTAAATGTCAGGTGGGCATGGCAGCTTGCCTATAAATCCAGCCTGAGAGAGAAGATAGGGGCCATCCCTGGACCAGGTTGGTAATAGACTTGTCATATCAGTGAACTTTGGATCTGACTGAGAGGTCATGCTTCAGTGGATAAGACGGACAATGATCAAGGAATATTCTAAAAATTAAAAACTTTAAATATGTATTTAACAATTCATTTCTTGCTTGTTTACATATTCAGTTCATGCTTTCTTTTGTTCTTTTGAAAAAAAAGTGTTGTAGCTCCTCCTAAATACTTCTTTTTAAAGATGTGTTGCTAGCTTGTTAAATATAGAATCTTTTGATAATTGCTAGGGAATTCCTAGGTAGCTGGGCCAAAAAATCTGGTGTTCTCAAGCATTAAGGATCACTCAAGCATGAAGACATTCAGATGGATTTCCTCCAGTCCCTATCTGAGATCATTCTTACCCTTCATTCTCACAATGCAATTCACAATCCAATGGTAACGTTGGATGGGGAATTTGTTTATACAGCATGTAAGGAAGTTCTACAGCACAACAAAACAAATGTTCTAATTAAAAAACAACAAAAAACTAAAAACAACCTCATGAACCACATGGTTGGCCACTCAGATCTTTAGGAGGATGGAGGCATCACTCAAGGCATCTACTTGGTATAGCTAGACCACTGTTATAGCACAGGCTAAGGTGGGCTTGCTCAAAATCGCTGAGGATCTCAGAGATTTTTTTCTTATATTGTCCAATATGAGCCAGAGGACATCAAACCACCCATCATGAAGCTTCTGTCTGGTGAGTGGCATTGCTGGAATGAAGCCTCATTCCCAAAAGAGACCAGGTATCACCTCTCAAGGATGACAGACAGTCCATCATCCAAGCCCTGCCAAAGTTTGCTGATATTATTTCCAGAGAACAGAATTGGAAGGTAAAACTGAATCATGAAATTGCCTATGCACACAAGCAAGGATTTGCTAGGATAGAAAAAGGGTGGAGTTGAAGACATCTCCTTTGCTGGACTCTGTGGGCTGCTAAGATACACCTGCAAGTAATCACAGTCACAAAACAAGAAACCGGAGTGAAACACTACACTACTCCTAATGTTCTCCCACTTGGAAAAGAAATTGCACCAAATGATACAAAATTCACATTTCTTATAGGTTTTATTTTGTGTCCATGCAGTGAGCATGTGAAGGGTTCATGGGAAAAGACTAGCCAGCTATTTGAAACACAAGAGTGGTTTTAGGTTTTTCCCAATTAGGTTCTTTCATTTGGGTTGCCCTAGCTGTATTCTCCACTACATGATCCTGTGGATCTTTCCCTGCTTGCCTTTTCTAAAAGGCTGTAAGTTTACAGTGGGAAGAATCTACTTATGTTACCCGTAGCACCTAGCACAGTACTGGGTACCAGCCAACTGTCCTGCCAGAACCATACTGCTGTGGTTTGGATCACCCTAAAGGGCGTGTGTTAAAGACTTTGTCCTCTGCACTATAGGGAGGGAATGGAGCTTCTGAGACATGATTCCCTGTAGGAAGAAGTTAAATCATTGGGGTATGCCTTAGAAAGGAGTATTAGTACTCCAGATTCTTCTGTTTTTGCTTTCTTGGTATCATTAAGTGGTCAGCTGCCCTCTACTAGGCACACCTGCCACAGTGATTCGCCTCCTCAAATGTCCAGAGGCAATGAGGCTTTGTGATCATGGACTAAATCTTCTAACCACGAATTCATAGCAACTTCCTCCTTCCACATTGATGATCTCAGGTGGTTTTTCATGCAGACAGAAAGCCAATAATACAACTAATTGAATAGTCTGCTAAGAGACATCATCTGGTTTCTCCTTTAATCATGAATGTGTCGGAGACTAGTGTGAGCTCCATTACAGAGACACGCACAAGAAAGTAGAGTACAGGAGTAGACAAGTGTTGCAAATGTCAGCAGTGTTGCAGAGTTTTTTTTTAGTCTTACACATTTCAACAACTAACAGGAGCTTCAGATAAGAGAGACTCACTTTTCAGTGTGGACTGATGCTAGCTGTGGGGCCTAGCACCATGAGGAGCTCTGGGCTCCAAGGTGGTAAAACACTCTAATGGACACCCAGTACAACGAAGACTTTTTCAGGCTCCTATGGTTGTAGTAATGACCCCCTTTCCCTTCTTGTTGTGGTTTAGGAGATGGGTACTTGGTGTTTTCTTGCAGTAAGTAGTTCAGAACAAATACAACAACTAAAAGATTAAGAAGGCAAAAGGAAAATACAGATTAAGATTTCCCTGTGTTCCCAAGCAGTGGCTGTAGAAAGAGCCCCACAGTTCCAAACACACAGACGATTATAAACACCCAGAGGAAGATCCTGTCCACCACCATGGCCATGTATTTCCAGTCATCTTCTACCTGAAATGTGAACAAAACAACAAGGCTAGCTTTAAAATCCAAGACTACAGGAAGACATGCTTTGTCTGATGAATAGTGGTCCCCCCAAGCAACTTTCTCCAATACTTTCAAAATCAATTGTTGGTATTATGTTTGCCTGCCTGTGTCTCCTATGTGGCACTCATTGCCTAAGGAGGGTAGATATATATCATGGGTGGCTCATAGAGCTGGGTATTTACTATGCTGAAGACTTTTATGACCCCTTCTCTGTGACAAAAGACCCCTTTCCTGATTCTAGGGATGATTTCCCAAAGTATCTTCTTGAGAATCTAGTTCTTGTCAGTTGTGCACAAGAGAGCCTGGCACTTTGGGGGATGTGAGTGTGAGGGTGTGGGGTATGTCTGAGTACCCCTGATACAGAAATAAGCAGCCACCAGACCTCAAAGTGATGGACTTGTACATACTTGAAATCTTTCTAGTCCCAAACTTCTAACCTTCTGCTATGGTCTCTGTGGGTTGTGTATTAGGAAACCTGCATGGCATGATAGTTCAACATAGGAACTATGTACATAGGAAAAGATGCTGGCCTGGAGATAAGCTCATTAGCCATTCCTGTTCTGTGACATGTGATATGACAGGCATTTCCAGGCATCAACAGGGTGGTATTGGGGGGTCCTGATATCCTTTCACTAGTGGTTACAGATGCAGGAGCTATAGTATGTAGCAACTCCAGACAATTGGTAAGAGCTTTCAGAAGCCTCAGCTAGTCAAGGGGTGACATGGAGAGCTGGCACGGTAGCTTTGAGTTCTTGCTTTGGGGAAGGAGGAGCTGAGTTGCTGGCATGAGTGTGTGGGTGACAGGAGCAGACTGTGTGCAGGCTGAGCATATCTCCACAGCGTTTTCGATTTGTGCCTATGTCCACCTCTAGTAGAGGAAGTGTAACTGGAGCTGCTAAGCAGCTCATATCCTTCATCCTTGAGACTTCAGGCAGCACCACAATCAGTTCTCCTTTTCCTTTGGGCAGTCTCCCTCCTCACCCTGTCTTTGCTACTGTTTGCTTGGTTGGGGCTTGTCCTCCATGTGTAGGATTTTACTATAAGTAAATGCAGATTGAAGAGTTGTTGTAGGGCTACGTATCATCTTACTATAGCTACCTAAGATCTAATCCAGGTTCCCCAATGCTGCGTGATAACAGAGCTGGTCTTATATGATTCTGTCTGACTATGTCATAAACATGACTCCCACACATGATCTAGTCTGGACTCTGAAGTGTCTATAGGCATGTAGGGGTGCAGCTGGCTGGAGGAAAGGGGTATATGTTTACCTCCTTTGTTTCATTGTGGTTCTTCATGTTTTCTGCTATGAATTGGACACTGTTGATCACATCTTCCACATCTGGTGAGTGCTCTGAATTCTCTGCCATCCACCCTGTGGGCTGCTGACTCCATCTTCTCTTGCTAGGGGATGTCTCACTTGATTTTTGATAGCGGCTGCTTTCCTTCAGAAGTTTGGGCTCTCTTCGATGAACAAACTTGACTTTGGCAGGTCTCTTAGGAAGGCTTTTTGGGTCCTTAGCATCACTTACTTCCCTTGTCTTATCCAGAGGCCTCCTCATCATCAGAATTGAGGGGAAAACCTGAAGGAAAATAGTCTTCACCCACTTGGGCATGGTATGTGTTGCTGGGGTGCGGTAGTGTATGTTCAAAACAAACACTGTCACCACAATGGACAGTGTGACAAAGATCATGGTGAATAGTAGATACTCCCCTACCAGTGGGATCACAAGAGATGTGGATGGGATTGTCTCAGTAATCACCAGCAAAAAGACAGTCAGAGAGAGCAGAACTGAAATGCAAAGAGTTACTTTCTCACCACAGTCAGAAGGGAGGTAAAAGACCAACACGGTGAGAAAGGAAATGAAGAGACAGGGGATGATGAGGTTAATAGTGTAAAACATGGGCAGCCTCCTGATATAGAAAGAGTAGGTAATGTCTGTGTAAATCTCTTCACAACAGTTGTATTTGATGTCATGCTTGTAGCCAGAGGCATCAACAATTTCCCATTCGCTGTTTTCCCAGAAGTCATTCATGTCCACTTTAGAGCCAATGATCAGAAGGTCAATTTCAGCCTTGTCATAAGTCCAGGAACCAAATTTCAGGGAACAGTTTTGATGATCAAAAGGGAAGAAGGTGATGTCCATAGGACAAGAACTCTTGAAGATGGCTGGTGGGGTCCAGGTTATCATGCCATCATACTTAACAAGAGCTTTGGTCTTGCCTTCCACTTGGAAGTCACCAACAGCACTGCAAGAAAGACCACACACTGTTAGCAGCACGGTCCCTTTGCTGTGAGTCATGTGGCCTAAAGACTTTGAAAATTGACTATGACTCTGTCTAGCTATGCATACTTATTATATAGAACAATGTCTGGTTTCCAGATCTTATCTGCTGGAACACGAAGTGTCTCAATGCCATCATACTCCAATGGATCCCATTGTAATTTGTAGTCCTTCCAGATCTAAAAGTAAAGAGATATAAAGAGCCATTTCTGGTTGTGGTGATGGTCTTACTTTGTTCTAACTTTTGTTAAATTCATTCTTTAATAATTTAATACACGTACACTGGGGGTTCTGATTACTGCTGCCACCTACCCTCTTTGAACTCCAGTCCAACCCTTTTTACCCCCTTCCTCCCTACAAGTCCCTTTCACTTTAAAAATGGATAAGAACCCTTTTTGAAAAATGGCATCATAACTTTTCCCAAATATTTTTGTTGGTTCAATAGTTTCCTTGATTAAAAAGTAAGATATTTTTTGGTTGTGAGCCTAGCCTTTAACAGCTGAGTCATCTCTCCAGCCGAAAAGTAAGATATTTTGAAGAATAACTGGTCCCTATTAAAAGCAAGGAATTATAACCATGGGCACAGGGAGCTAAATAGCTGAGTTGATTTGGGCATACCTATAACAAGCTAACTGGCTAAGATTTAGGTTTTATACTGTGTTTCAGGGACTACTCCAGTTCAAACTGTTTGTATGCATGAGGATGAGTCTATTGCACTGTGTACACTATTTAGACTTTTAAGAGCAAAGGCAGTCTAACTTGTAAAAACCAGCTATTGGTTATTAATATGTTCTCCAGACCTCAACCACTGACCTCCTGGAGCTATCAAAGAGGAAAGTAACCATAAGACTTGGGCCTCCAGCAATTGATAAAAAGAGATCTGAGAGCAGAAAGTAGAAAGGCCAGAGGGCTCCATGTCAAAGGCAGTAGGCTCTGTCCATGTGCTGCCTGTGTTAATCTAGCTGCAACCAGAGCAGAGCCTGAGGATATTCTATATCTGTCATAGGTTGGAGAGGGCGAGAGGTAATGTAGTGGGTTTATTATTGAGTGGACACATGTGACCACAATTCAAAGTGGGAGACACATGGGAGATACATACATGACGCAGCCATAGATTGGTTTCCATGATCTGGTTGACTTCATCCTGGGAGGGAGAAATAAGAAATAATATTTTCAGCCTTCCATGTATTTGCTAATGCAAGTCTATGTGAAAATTATGGCTAAAAACTGACAAATCTAAGTTAATTGTGCTAATGGAGGCAAGCATGAAGATGGAGAGAACTAAACTTGAACTTCCACAGAATTATGGTATTTTTACACTTGTCCCCACTCTGTTGGCTTAGAAATGATATATGGCTTCAAAATGTTGCTCCCATCTCATTTGAATTCCAGCTTCTCTAGTAATCTTTTCTCATCACCTCATCCCATAAAGCCTGCATGAAAGGTGACAGGAGGAGGGCAGAGGCTTAGGGACAATGAGGAGAAGCCCTGTAGATGGTGACAGGTGCTCACTGTCTCTACATATGCCCCATGGCCTTTCCTCAAAGAAGCTTGGAACTCCCTTTGTGCATTTGCCATGGGATCCAGACTGAAACAACAGCTTCAGCCCACTAGCAAGTTGGCTAGCTGAAACTGGCTATCTACTCCCTATATATTTCCTTCCCCAGCCCAAGTACCCTTCAGCTACAAAGGACACTCATACTGAGTGACCACTTTGTGCCCCGTTACAGAGTGGACCAAGCTCCTGCTTTCACATGGTCTTAGCTGCTGGTTGGGGAGACACAAAACCAATAATATATGCATATACATATATAAAATACAATTTGATATAACAAAGAGAGGTAGAGTGGTCCATGTGTGCACACACATCTGTTTTATATAGGAGTCAAAGAAGGCTTCTCTGAGGAGGGACTGTCCAAGTAGCCCCTTAAGTGACAGGAGGGGACATGCAGGCATCCCTTGTCACCATCTTTAGTACAGTTGATTGACTTCTTTTTTTCTTTCTTTCTTTGTTTTTTTTTTTTTTTTTTTTCTTTTTGAGACAGGGCTTTTCTGTGTATGTAGCTTTGTAGACCAGGCTGACCTCAAACTCACAGAGATCTACTTGCCTTTGCCTCCCGAGAGCTGGGATTAAAGGTGTGCTCCACCACTGCCCAGCTAGTACAGGAAAGCTACTCAAGACACACCTAGATGACAGGTAGGTCACAGCACAATAGTTTGGTATTGATGGTAGGTTCTTAGCAGTCATCAGGAGAGTCTAAAATCTTACTTCCCAGGATTTCAGAGGCCCCTATAGAGTGAAGGACCCAGCTGTGTTGAAGTTTCTAGGCATGGCTCTGACAGTCGCTCTTCCCATTCCACCCAGCTGCTCACTGGGCTCTACTCCTTCACTCCATGGTTACTGCTACCCACCCTGGAGAGGTCCAGAAAGAGACCATGCCAAGTTTCTCCCCAGCAGTGGGTCATATGAAACCATCATGGACAGTGATATTTGTAAAGGTTAATAAGAAGAGTTAGAGAAATGGGACCTGCACAGCTTCACAGTTACCCTTCTTGATTAGGGCCTTTTGGTCTTGAGTCATCTTGAATCTGTCGGGTCTAGCAGAAGCTTTGCCAGTATATGCACTAGCAGTTGGTCAAACCCAGATAAGCTCTGTTGCCTCTGTCCCATGAGGTCTTAGAGATAACTGGGCCTAAGTACCACACATCCTCTAAAACTTGATGTTGTGACGTGACGTAAAGCTGAACAGAGGGTGGCCCTTTAATACTTCAGGTGATACTTGGTTTAGTTTTCTACCTTCTAGTAGCCCAGTCCCCATGCATCCTGGCCAGTGTAAAACCAAGAAATGGTCAGAACAGATACAAAATAAATGGTTTTTAATGGGCTGAGTGGATCTAACCAGGTAAGAAGAAACATCTGGCATTTGACACATATGCTAGTACTTACTAGGATACGTACATGTCCAGTCTAGAGTTAAAGGAACAGTTTGGGTCAGCAAAGTTAACTGGGCAGTGTAGACTGGAGAAGTCTGATGGTGTTTGCCTAAATGTTGTAGTTAGGTCTTTCCCTAAGTATACCTAGAGAAGTCACCCCCCATGCTGTCACCCACAGGACAGGTGTTGTAGGGCAGGAGGTTTCTTCCCTACCCTTGGGTTGGGCTGGAAGATGACAGGCTTCTTCTATGTGTAAGACAGCCTTGGGGACCATCTCTAATGCCCTCTCTGGTGACACCCCAGGCTTCACTTAATTTCCTAATCTATCTAGTAGTGCAATTGGGGTTGAGCTAAGACCCCTGATGGACTTTAGACTTTTCCACCTCCTGTCCCTGGAACCAGAGAAAGAAGATTATTTAGAACAACAGTAAAAGAAAGAAGGAAAACCAAAAGAGCCTCACTTCCACTTGCCCTTGAACATGATCCCAATGAACTTACAGAAGGTACAGAGTCTGGCACATAATTCAGCTCACTTCAAACCTCCCACTTGCCTTCATGTCTTTATTTCATAACCTGACTCTGAAAGAACTTCTAATCATGGGAACTCTGAGCAAGGACAGCATTATGTAGGGCCTTGAGGGACCCTTCTCATGTAATCTGGCATTCACTTTTAAGTTGTGCGATGGAGTTCTGTGCCTACTGGCGGCACAAAGTGCAAGAACGCTGGAAACTCAGCCCTCTGGGAACATGTCTGGAGTCTGAGACACTCACCACATTCGCCAGTTGTGTGATTGCCAACTCAAAATGCACTGTGACAGGATCAGAAACATTTTCCACCGGCCGGATGAATCTGTTGTAGCCAGCAAACAGCTTGTGGAAGAGCTGCTCTTCAGATGCACAGCCTGTACAGCCTGTGTGCAGAAAGGGGAGAGCATCAGAGAAGGGCTATGGGAGGGCCTGAGCTGGCTCCTCCCCTGGACCAAGCCTACTGTCTCAGTCAGAGTCTCATCACTGCACCAGCTAGGCCCACTCCTGCTGGCACTAGGGCAGCTCAACCTCCCCACCCCCCTTAAACCTTGCTTGCTCTTTCAACATTGAGATACAGCAACTCCATAGGCTTCTCAGAACTAGTACAATGTCCACAAAGTGATCTCAAGAAGACTGCCTATTGAAGTCAAGGGCACCATAAATGTCATGGGATAGGATGTCACAAGAAGGGAAATTGTATCACTAAACACAGCTCATAGCACAACCACCGAATTAGAAGCTCTGCAAGAGTTCTGGAGGTATGTAGATTTATAAATGGCAAGGCTGGCACCCTCACCAAACAAATACATATCTAATCATTGCCTAGATCCTCAAAAGCCAAGCCCTTTAAAAAATGTACCTTGGAGTCATGCATTTTTAGATTTGTCAGCATGCAAAGATTTTAAAGTGAGTTCACTTAAATAAGTCCTTTAAAAGCCATTGCAAATTGGTTCTCAGTACCCCTATTAGCCATTATACTCTGCACCATGGTGCCACCTGTGCCTGTAATTCTTTAAGAAGGCATTGGATTGGTTTCTTGCCTCCAATGCACACAACTCACTTCCATAACACGCCACTGAAACACACCCCTACTGTTTGTTTTGTACAATTCAAATTTGACTCCACGAATGCTAATACCCAAATTTTCCCAAAAGATTTATACCTGGAGAGAAGAAGAAGAAAAGAATGGGCTTGAAAGCCTGACCAGGTGAAACAACACAGGGTAACTGCTGTCCCTCAAACACCGCTTCATGCGTCTATTTGGAAGTGCTGAATGCTGGGATAGCAGCAGGAAAAAACCTTTTTACCTGTCACCTGCCATTCACCAGTGTAATTAACCACAATGAAAATATTTCTTCAGAAGCCAGTGAGAAACCTTCCTGGCTAGTGTTGCCATTTCCCTCCCACGAAACTCTTTTGGGGAGCTCTCTATCAGCCTCCCTGACATCTAGTAGCACAGAGGTTGGGGTTGGGGTGAAGAGGTATGTGATCTGCTCAGCACAGCAGGCATGTCTGAGCCAACTTTTAAAACAAGCCAGCTCACTCAGTATAGACAATGAGACAGGTCTCACCAGTGAGGACAATTACTTACAATGGGAGGCTTCATAAGCTGGGTAGTTAAGAACCGGCAAACATATAAACCACTCTGTGAAAAATATATTACAAATAGCCACAAATAAATAAGTGGAGCATATTGATAGCACAAACGGCTACAAAAACAGGTGACTCTGTGTGCTAATCAGGAAGATGTAGTTTAGTTTGAAGAATGAAATATTATTTACAGTATAGTTCAATGTTTTCCCCACACTATTGTCCAAATCTTATCTGTTAGGTTAAACATAACTAATAAAAGTCATCATCTGGTCATTTGGATCTAGTCAAGATGAGAGAGGAGAGTGAATGCATGGAACAAAAAAACATTCTAGGACATAAGCCAAGTAACTTACCTTTAAAGGAAGCCAAGAATCCACATAACCACAGACACAAACCCAAGTGAAAGGATCCCTGGTCCTGGATCATCAGCATGATAAAAGCACCTGAATTCCGATTTCTGCAAAGGGCGGTAGAAAAAGCAGCTGTCAGACAGCTACAAGAATCAGACCATTAAAGCCACAGACGCTCATGGCAATCTTCTGCGAAATGAAAACCCGGAACATTCACACAGCTGCTCCAGCATCACAGGCTGGAGCAGATGCGAAGGGCAAGGAAAGCTAGCACTGCTGCTTAAGAAGGGCTGTCACATTTCCTGTCACCCTAGATCTCTGTGTGAGAAAGATGAAGAAAGCCACTGGGCAGACCTAGACCTGCTGCCTCACCCACTATTCTTTAGGCCACTGGTTCTCAACCTTCCCAATGCTGTGGCCCTTTAATACTGTTCCTAATGTGGTGACCCCTAACCATAAAATTATTTTTGTTGGTACTTCATAACTATACTTTTGCTACTGTTATGAATTGTAAACATCTGATATGCTGGATTTCTGTTATGTAACTACTGTGAAAGGGTCCTTTGACCCAAGGGGCCTTGATCCACACATAGGTTGAGAACTGCTGCTTTAGCAACTAAGCACATATTTACTTGGCTCCCACTAAAGGAAAAGAAAAATCACATTGAGTTTGCTGTGTAATTGAGGCTTACTGGTGAGGAATCACTTTAAAATATCCCAATTCCTGTCTTCATTGGGACAGTGTAGGGGACATGTTTGTGTCTGCTTAAGTTTCCTAATGCTAGCTCTCCAAGCGCCCTGCTCTTCTGGGTGTTGTGACCCCAGATCAGAAGAGAGATCAAATTTCAAAGAACAAAGGAAACAGCTACCCACCAGATATTTTCCTGTTTAATTACCTGGGACAGGGGTGTTGATTAGGTTTTTATTTTCCCCTTTTCTTTGGAGCTGTGGTATGAGTAGGGTTCTGATTAACTGGCCATTTGGCTTAGATCTCAGCATTGCTTGAAGAGGAAGCAGACAGTAAAATGTTATAAGTCAAGGGGTTCTCAGAGTTTAGGACCCACCTGCGAAAGCAGCACACTTTGCCCATTGACAGGCTCAAGTCCTCCCAGCTCCCGGCAACAGAGGAAGAACTCACAGACAGGGCCTCAGGCTGGGTCCTTCAAGCATGCACATTAGCATTTCAATTGTCCCCTCAGTGCCTGGGCTTTATCTTCTCCTGAGGTACACAGAGTTTCCAGAGAATCTGAGGTGACACAAAGTGAGTTAGGATGACACTCAGCTGTGATGGACCTCATACCTTCAGTCACATGGGTTGTTTCCCAAAGTGCATGTTGCAGCTGCTGTATGCAATATACACTTGTATTTTCCTGTATTTTCCACTGGAAAATTCCACATCACAGTCTGGAGAGAACAGGGTTTCATGTGTAGCTTCTGGAACTATGGGAAGCAGCTGGCGGGCACTGGGCTGCTGCAGAGGAGGGGCCTTAGGAATGCACCACTGGTGGTACCTACTGAAGCTAAATCTGCATGACAGGTGCAGAGTGGGGACAGGGGACTCTTCTGTGTGGTTCCTTTTGTAGAGCTGGGGGTCAAGTCTAGGACCTTAGGCATCCTCAACAAACTCTCTGACACTGAGCCACATCTAAGCCACCAAGGTGCCAGAGCAGACACAGGGGGCATTGCAGGGGAAGAGCATGGAGTTGGGATTCAGACAAACCTAGATTTAGATCCTGGGCCTTATGCCCAGCTCAGGGGCATTCTGCCAACTACTCATGTCACTTTAACCTTGTCCCAACCTTAGAAAACAACATCCCCCAAAACATGATTCAATCAAGTTAAACCAACCATAAATCTCTCTACCCAGTTTTGTGTGACATTTGCCATCAGTCTCCCGCAGCTACAAATAAGAACTGGGAATTGTTAAAGAAAAGAAAAGAAAAAAAAAAAAAAAGAAAAAAAAATGTATTTAGAGTGCTTGTAGGACAATAACTTTTTATCTAACGAACACATTTAAACTATGCTGACACCATCAGAAAATGCTTGTGCTCCACATTCAAGTTACATAAAAATGTATGCTCTTCAAAAGTCTGTAGGAAAATGGCCAAGCTATAGGTTAAAAACAATTTTTAAGGACTTTCTTCAACAGCTTCCTGTCTGGACTGTTTGTTTTTCTTTTTTCTTTGTGTGTGTGTGTGTGTGTGTGTGTGTGTGTGTGTGTGTGTGTGTGTGTGTAGGGGGGCAGACAAGGATGGGAGGGAGGACCTGGGAGGAATGGGGAGTGAATGGGATTGGGGTGCATTATTATGGTGGGGGGAAATAGTAAAAAAAAAAAAAACAAGTAAACAAACAAACAAAAACCACATAGGAAATAGTAAATCTGGTTTAAAAATTTAGTTCAAAGAAATAATTCAAGATAGATTTATATTTTTGTCCTGCTTTTTGAAGTACTTTTTCATACTTACAGTCAAGGGACCAGCTCTGGCCGAGCTACGCTGTTGAACCAGCCAACGTTTAGAGCATTGTCCATGACTTGGCGTGGTCTGTAGCGTGAAGGGAGGATGATGCAACAGCAGGAAGGGTGGTTGACGGTGTAACACCTTTGCTTCCTCCCTTCTTTACTTCCTTCCTCCCTTATTCTTTCTTAGCCCTTTCAACATAGACATTCTGGGACAGGCATGGCAGAGTCAGAGGCAGGTGAATCCTGCGTTACACACCAAATCCTGAAAAGAAATAGGAGGAACAGCAGCAGAAGCTCCAGATAACCAATGAGGACTCTGGTAACTCTACTGCTGAGGAACTCTCTGAAAGTCTGGGCTCTGTGTGCCATTAGTTGATGCTAATAGCTTTAATTGTGGAGGTCATGTGGCTGAGCACCAAGTTTTGTGTGCGAGCATTGTTGCTGTGGAAGACTCTGAGGGAAGCAACCTAATGGTGCCTATGTCTCATGAAAAGATGCATTTGAAGATCCTGTCTGGTGACAGTTGTCTTTCAGTGATTTCCCCTTGTCCTCTGGGGAGGGGGGGGGAGTTCCTCACTTCCAGCTCCTCCTAGACTTCCAAGGAAAAGACATCCTTATCCTGACAACTAACTACAGAATTATCTATTCCTGAGAAAGATGATGGGGTGGGAGGGGGCTTGAGTCTTAATACCTCCCAATTAGTAATGTCACTCCTTAAGATTCAGAGCCAAGAATTACTACTAGCCCGTGCAGGAGAAAAGCAGCCACTAAGGGTTTGTGACCTCTATCTGAGAAGCTTCCCTGCAATGCATTGCACAGCATTTCTTCTCTAACCTCAGGCAAGACTACAACTGTTGCTAACAGCCTCCATGTTATAGCATCACCCTCATCTTTACCAGTATCAGTAATAACATCTTAATTCAAACAACAAAGGAGTTGAGCTGGACAGATGGCTCGATTAATCGTGTCTGCTGCTCTTCCAGAGAATTCAACACATGTTCAGCAGGTTAGCTCCAACTCCAAGGATCTGATACCCTATTCTGGCCTCAGTGATTATCTGTATGTATGTGTGTGTGTGTGTGCGCGCACACACATGCTCACACACACACACACACACACACACACACACACACACACGGGGGAGGGGGGAGAGAGAGGGAGAAAGGGAGGGAGATGGAGGACTAATGAAATAATCCTTAAAAGGAATTATAGATTTCCCTTGCTGTTGCAGAATGTTACTTCATATTTATATTCTAGGAATCAGCTCTTGTTCAGTCATGTTGTTGACGAAGTCAGAATGAATGGGGCACAGCTCTGGACAGGAAAGGCAGGCTAACAATGAAACAACTAGGCTTCCCTTTATTCTTTACCTCCTTCTGCCCTTTACCTTCTTGTTTCTTCTTTTTAAAAAAAGATTTATATATTATATATATATATATATAATATATATATATATATGAGTGCTCTGTCTGTGTGTACATCTGTGTATCAGAAGAAGGCATTGGATCCCATCACAGATGGGTGTGAGCCACCATGTAGGTGCTGGGGATTGAATTCAGGACCTCTGGAAGAGCAGTCACTGCTCTTAACCTCTGAGCCATCACTTCAGTACCTATCATTGTTCCTTCTTCGTACTTTCAAAGCAGTGCATGGTTTCCTGGCTTACCAAAATGCTTTTCTTCATTCCAGCAACTTGTCCTTGGGTCACTGACCTTTCAAGTGGGGAGCAAGGAAGTTGGGTTTGTAATTAAACCCCATTAAACACACAGGTGAAAAGAAAACAGTGTATAATTCCGTGGGAGTCACAGAACCATGTAGAACCAGGCATTGCCAAACCTAGGAGCAGGGTAGCCACAGCTGGGTTCCAGCAATTCTGTAGACATTGTCCTCAGTCTCATTACATCATTTCTATGGAAAATAAGGCATTTCTGAAGGTCAAGGATGTTGTTAAGTTGGTAGAGCATTTGCCCAGCATGCACCAAGGCCCCAAACACAATCTGCAGCACTGTCAAAACTGGGTGAGGTAGAATTTACCTCTAATCCCAGAACTCTAGTGGTGGAAGGAGGAGTGTCAAGTTCAAGGTCATCCTAACTACACAGTGAACATTCCTCAAGCCTCAGAGGAGTGTAAATGAAACCCTGCCTTACTAAGTAAGAAGCAAATAAATGAGAGAATGAAACATCCTTTGCCGGCAATTGTGGTGCAACTAGCAACTTCAGCACTTGGGAGGGTTGTGTTTGTTTGAAGCTAGCTAGGGCTACCCAGACAGAGTCTGGAACAGGACTAGGGGTGTAGTTCAGAGTTAAAATGTATGCTAGTGAGTGGATGACCCTGAGTTCTATCCCAAGGGAGGCAAAGAAAGAGAAAAAAAATGTATAGAATAGAATACATATAGCAGAATTGGAAAGTAACTGCTTCAGAGAACAATTGTTTTCTGAGTTTCTTGTTTTTGTCACAAAAGCTAAGTTTAATGGAAGATTATCTTGTGTTGGAAAGTAACAGGACACTTTTATTATAAAAAATGTTTTGAGAATTTTCCCTGCTTTCAAAATGCACTGCATCATTCGTCCCCCCAAAATAAGGGAGATATTTTGGCATGGTTATATAAATTAGGTGTGTGCTCCCTTTGAAGTTTTTTTTTCCTTTTGTTTTCTTTTTAAAAGCAGTTTTAAACTGCATGAATGAACATTTGGTGGACTTATGTCCAACTGTCAGTTCTCTT